GGGGAAGGTTAGGACCCAAAATGCAGATTACCCAGATGACAAGAGGCAGGAGTTGGTAAAAAGTAAAAATCCTTTTATTTGGCAGGATGATACAAAATAAATCCACAAGGCAGCAAGGCAAAATCCAAAAGTCCTGGAACACAGGACACCTAAAGCTCACTTAAGCCCCCTTCAGACAGGCCATGAAAAACGGAAATGTTCCGGACTCTGTCCGTAAGACCTTTGTGTCTGAATACAAACATCCGGATAACGTTTTCCGTAATTAAACCGGACGAAGCCCCTAGTAACAGGTCCGGACTTGTTACGGACAAGGTGGCTGCTTCAGACTGGTGAGGTCGAGTTCCGGACAGGGAGGAGGGGGAGGAGGTTGGGGACCGGGGGATGCTGTGCGCACCTAGATAGCCCGCTGCTGTAGCATGCGGCGAACCATGGCAGCTCGCCTCCTACGGTACCATCTAGACGCGCGACAGAGTGCATCACACCGCTTCTGTGATTCCTTTTAACCATTGAGCTTCATCATCCTGGTCTCTTATGCGTCTTTGTGTGCGCAGAATTATGCTTAACATAAGTCCGATCAGTGAGAGGAATTCTATCTCTTCGTCTGCCATGTTTGACTGAATGAATTTGTTTGGGTAAATGACGCAAGTACGCCTGCCGCACTTGTCCCCCCGACATCTGGAACTTTTCCCTGCTGTGTGAAGGCAGCAGAAAGGACAAGTTCCGGTACAAAAGTGGTGTGTCTGAAAACACAGTTCCAGGTACAAACCGGATTGAATTGTCCACACATATTCCAGAATGTCTATCTGAAAAGGGTTTTAGAGTACCAAAGTCAAAAACCAAAAATCCTGGAACACAGGACACCGAAAGCTCTCTTAGAGCACCAAAGTCTAGAGACATAAAGCTCACATAGAGCACGAAACAACGCTGACAAAAATACAATGGACCGACAACAACACAGAGACAAGACAGGGTTTATATAGACTGGGAAGATGAGAGGGAGATGAATTGCAGGTGTGTGGGGAAAGGGACCAGGTGAACACAATTACTAAATCAGGGAGGAGGAAGAAAACACTGGAGGGAAAAAACACACTAAATAATGAAAGGCTGTAAAAAAGGAAAATGACCTAAGAGAAAAACAAAAAACCGGAAGGCATGAACCATAACTAATATTCTAAGGGGAAGCTGACACTAAAGGAAAACACTACAGAAAGAAACTACAGGGGTGTGGCTAAGAGGGGGCCAAGAGAGCACAGGACCTGGGAGAGGGATGTCTGAGGTGGGAAACCTAGGGTAAATGGGGAACACCAGGAGACACATGAGGATGATGCAGACATGACACATGAGGGCGCTAGAAGACACAAAAGGAGCACCTAGAGACGAATGGAGGACAACAGGAGACACATGAGGGGAGACGCAGACACAGACCATGACAAGATCAGGTGAAAGTGGATTGATTGTAATGAAGTAAATCAAAGCTCAAAGATGGAAACTGACTAACAACTTGTGCAAGTGTATGTGGACATTTCCTTATGAAACGATCATCAGCAAGAATCACTTTCAAATACCACGGCATCTTGGATGAACTTGTTGGGTAGACTAGAGTGGGATAGCCTGACTGGTGGACACAGGGGAAGGGTGGAATGGGTAGGTTTTGAGTTTATAACGTGTTATAAGCAGTGTAACGTCTAGAAATGGTCAGTTTTCACCTACATATTGATCTCCACAATGTCTGGTCATCTACAGACATAATTCCACTATCTGAATGGAGTTTCTATCCTGTCTTCTAAAGCCCAGAAGATTCTGCAGCCCTTGTTGACATTTCAGGGGGAACAAGATGTCAGCCCATGTTCCCAAACAAAGCCTACTTTTGATAAGACCGCAGGATTGCACGCTCTCATGAAAGAAGAACTTTTACAACCCATAAGTTAAATAATCATTAAATAATAATATGGTTGAATGAACAAATGTTATATGAATAATAATATTGATGTTTTAATAAGCTGTGCCTAATTCAATTAAGTTGAAATTAATTTTAATATTACAATGAACATTTTGATGTTATGATCAGTAATGTTTGGTTTAACAAAGGAATCATTATTTACACTCAGACACAATGTTCATTAGAGATAAATTGAAGTTAAAGTAATTTCATGCACATAGATGTGTTCTTACCCACAAATCAGAGAACCTTCTATCTGAAAGAAGGCTTGATGTCCTGAGGGTTGTTTGTTAACACCTCTTAACATGGCACGTCTCGAATGGCCAGGTTATCATAATATGGGAATATTAAAACAGACACTTGCTGAGTTCTTCAGTTAGTTTTTGAGCAGAACTCCGGACTGGCCACGGGGAAAAACTCTAACCACCGCATCTCTTGACAAGCTGTCAAAAACCTGCTGCATGCTGAAGCTGACACAGCAAACGGTTCCTTCAGAATACAGCTGAACCAACAACAACTCCTTAAGAGTTATCCCTAAGACGCAAACAACTGTGGTGACCTGGAGACATCTCGAGACCGGTCTGGTCGTACTGCGGTTCCTCCTACGGACTTCGGTACTTTTGGGGTCCACCCGACTACCTGACACCCCTGATCTACAACGGGGGTCTCCGACGAAGGGTACGTAGGCTCACAGATTGCATCTGATGTGGTTTTATAAACTATCAATTATAGTTTACAACAAACCAAATTCTTTTCACACCCAGAACTCAGTTTCTTCTAGATACAAGGTTCTGATAAAAACACACCATTCCATCATCATACATCACATCACATCCACTTACATTCATCCATCACATTCGTCTTATTTATCTTGTCTTGTTTTTAATTTGTTTAGAAAATAAATTTCTTACTTTTTATAAACCTGACTTGTCTGAATTAATAGGAACTGTGTTTGATCACTGAAAAAGCAAAGAATCCTAGAATCTTCTGATTATACATTCAAAGACCAATAAGGTTGATATCCTATATTTATATAGAATATTACAGCTTATTGGTCATAAGTAAAGGTAATATATTAAGCTTAAAAGCAACAACATTTACCCTTCAACAACAGGAAGACTGTTGTTGAGTGTTTAAGGAGTCTTCCAGCTTCCTCCTGGAAAATTAAAGAGAAAAAAAGATCACGTGTGAAATGTTCTGTGAATAAAAACAATCCAGATAGTTAACTAATAAATGCAACAAAGGCATAACTGTTGTATGAAGACAGTCAGATGCAGCTAAATGAGTTTATAGAACAAAAACAACACATCTAATTTGTTTATTTGTGCAAAATCTATGGTTTACATCCCACCCAACATTGCTGATAGATGAAAGCAATACATTTGTATTCAGTTATTAAGTCATTAATTTTCAGATGAGTAAATAATTGCTGCTTATGTTGTTTTCATAATCATTTTGTTATTGTTTTATGCACTAAGATATGGATGTGCATATTCCACATAAAAATCTATCATCTATCTATCTATCTATCTATCTATCTATCTATCTATCTATCTATCTATCTATCTATCTATCTATCTATCTATCATCTATCTATCTATCTATCATCTATCTATCTATCATCTATCTATCTATCTATCTATCTATCTATCTATCTATCTATCTATCTATCTATCTATCATCTATCTATCATCTATCTATCTATCATCTATCTATCTATCTGTCTATCTATCTATCTATCTATCAATCTATCAATCTATCTATCTATCTATCTATCTATCTATCTATCTATCTATCTATCTATCTATCTATCTATCTATCTTTTTTAACAGGTTTTATTAACTTGTTGTCAATACATTCAGAAAATACATTCAATATATCCATGGCTCATATTTTACAGTTCTTTACAATTGCAATAACATAAATGCAACATTAGGAAACTATTAAACAAAAAAAAAAAACAAGAAATAAACAAAAAACTGACGAAAACATAAATAACTTAGAAACATAACACTTAGGGGTCTGCTGTGTCTAAGTTGAAATGATGAAATAAGTTGATGGTCTTTGTTAGTTTATTGTTCTTCCTTTTTAATTTTTCAATGCTGTTCCAATATTTCATAAGGTCTGTAATTCTGAAATTATAGAAGGAGGGGATACTTTTCTGAAAAATCATTTTATGTAAGTAATATTTTGCTAAAATAATGACTAAGTTAATTATGTATTTTTCATTGGATGATAAATGAGGGTTAGTAACAATGAGAAGAATTTCATATTTGCTTAAAGAAACTTTTTTTGTAACTTTCTCTAAATGTATCTTTGTAAATGAAACCAAAACAAAGTTACATGAAAGCAATCAACAAAAACATGTTCAATAGTTTCTCCCTTACAACCACAAAAAGTACAGATGTCAGAAACATTTTGAAAAAAAAATACAGATGTTTGCTTTTGACGGTAATATCTATGAACAATTTTGAATAAAACTTCTTGTATCTTATTCACAATGACATATTGGTGAGGTAGCAGAAAGATCCTGTTCCAGAGTTTTGTATTCATCAAAGTCCATGGATGTTTACATATCGGGGTTGAGACAGGATCAATTAATTTTCTAATAACAGAATTATTACATTTCTTATCTGTGATTGGAATCCCAGAAATAGTTGGAGGTCTGACTGCTGCAGATAAGATCATGTTTGATTGTATGGTCTGTGCTAAAAAGAAAATACAAGCAGGGATGGATTTAATTACCATGTTATACTCTTCTTGTGAAGTATTAATATTATATTTTTCTAAGAAGTCTTTGTGGGATAATGTTTCGCCAGTAGTATTTAGTAGATTATTCACAGTGTTTACAATATTTAATGACCAATTGTGTAGATAGTGTTTTATTTTTGTTTACAATATATGCATTGTTCCAAATAATACAATTGTGAGGAGAGAAGTTGTGTTTAAAGATAAGATTCCAAAATAATAAAGCTTGTTTATGAAAATTACTTAATTTCTATCTATCTATCTATCTATCTATCTATCTATCTATGCCTTCGCATCCTGGTTGAACACGTGACTTTCTAACGTCACCCATTGACGAAAGCGGAAGTGGGTCGCTTCCAGCTTTAGCCTGCTATCTGAACACCAAAACAGCGTGTGTGGAGTGTAATATCATCGTGGATATCGGCTGGAGTGTGTCCACTCGGCTCCCTGCTGTCCGCCGCTGGTTGAAACAGAACCGAGACGAAGCTGAAGAAGCGGCCGATTTAGAGAAATGGAGGTAAAAGCTAGCTGTCGGTTAGCTAGCTTCTGCTAACCTGGCACAACTTTGTGTGAAGCAGCTTCTCTGAAGCTCTTTTACAGTTTTTCTCCATTGGTTTGGCTCATTTCTTGAAACAGAAATTACATTCTCAAACCTCTAAGACCATTTGGCAAAACACTTACAGTTCAGCACAACACTATAGCTCACCTGCAAAAGCTCGCATCTCTCCCAAAACTGTTACTCAGGCTTCAATCTAAATCCCTTTCTTTTTTAAAGTCAGTGTCTCCAAAATGGCAAAGATCCTTCTCAATAGTTTTGGCTCATTTCTTGACACAGATCGGACATTCTCATCATTCTTGGTGCTTTTGTCAAAATAAACCTGGATGATTGATCATAACAACATGGTTTACCTGCAAAAGCTCATATCTCTCCTAAAACGGTTCGCTCATGTGTCAAAACTACATTTCTTTCTGATATGAATAGTCAGTGCCCCCAAAATGCACCGTCCCTTTGGCATTGTGTGAGTACTACCACACAAAATGTTTAGATGTTTTGTCTCTATGGTAGAGGACCAACAATATACAACCGAAAAGAGTAGTCTCCAAGGTTTGACGTCACAGATTGCACTCACAATACCAAGGAAATTATAACCATTTTTAATTCACACGCAAAGAAAGTTTCATACATATGTAAAAAGAAAATGTACCTTACAATAATACAGTAAATTGTATGAACACAAAATAAAAAAACAAGGACATGTATTCAGTGGTCACTGTACTCATCCTCCCGCTCTTGACCATGGTCTTCACCCTCCTGATTATTCACACGCTGTTGTCCATCTGGCCACAGATTCTCATCCACATCACAGCAGATACTTTCTATTGCGATGTAACGAGGGGAAAAAACGGCGTGCATGCCGCAACCGTCCCCTGCATTGATCTTATGTAATGTCGTCACATGCTGCATCTATAGCATGGAGCAGGGACGGCTGATCCTGAGCATGATGCTCATACACTCTCCACCTCCAAGCAGAGAAAAACTCCTCTATCGGATTGAGGAAAGGTGGTAGGAACTCCATGACCATCCTTGGATGCATTGCAAACAAGCCCCTAATGAGTGAGCTATGGTGGAAATTGACATTGTCCCACACAGTTACATAAATGGGTAGGTGAGGCCCTATGAGACCTCCCTCATTTTCAGGGATAAAATCGGTATAAAGGCGATCCAAGAACATGAGAAGCTTGTGTGTGTTGTATGGGCCAAGACTGGGGATGTGAGTGGCCACACCATTTTCAGAAAGGGCATCACACAATCATGGAAAACACCTGTGTGTGACACTCCCCGTTCATTAGTCTTGTTTCACCTGACTGTCAATGACTGTCATCAATGTATCAAATATTCAAAGAAATTCATTTATGGTATTCATGGTATTATGTTCTTGACCAATTCTGACAATTGAACAGACAGTTGTGCATACGAGTACTTATACAATGACATCATGCTGACATGTTTAGGAGAGAATGATCATTAGACTGAGAATCAACTAATCAGTTTAGATCTACAAGATCTATTCATTTGAAAAATGTGCTAAATGTGGGCTAACTGTATAACTGTGGGCTACATGTACTTAATCATTTGCAACGATGCACTGAGACAGCTGAGACTTGTACTAAGGCTTTTGCCATTTGATAAAATGAATGAGAAATGCCATTCTGTTGTGAACATTTGCCAAGGGGTTTGGAGGTTTGTCCATGTTATTTTGAGAATGTAATTTCTGTTTCAAGAAATGAGCCAAACCAATGGAGAAAAACTGTAAATCAGCTCAAAGTAAAATAAGTGAGATTTAATTTCAGGGAATCTTGAGACGTGTTTCAGTAGTTAAATAAAAAGTATGCGATGTTTTGTCAGCATTTATTAATTTTCTTTCGACATTTTAAAAAATATTTTTCTTTTGATATTTTTTGACAACTTACATAAATTAAGTTCCATAACAGAGGTTAAAACAAACGCCTGTGAAACACCTGCCTCTCTTGTAAACAGAACAAAGTGAAAACACACTCTTTTTTATTTCTTCCGTATTTGTTATCTCATTAATTTTATTCTTTGTATTTTCTAAACAAGGATCCCGGTGGTTCTGCAGCCGAGTCTGTGACTCCATCGCAAGCAGGTGCCTCCAAATCAAAGGTACATCACACACATCTATGTTGCTCCAGGTGTGACAGCTCTCACCTGTATCCTGTTGGCATAGAAGATCAAGGGTCATTGCCACCCGTCACCCTAGACTGAAACCTGGCTTTTTTTTTTTGTTTGATTTCAGGTGTAATTGGTTTTAATTGCATCAGAAAATAGCCGCTAAAGCATCATTCTAAGTGTTGGAACGATGAAATCTGATGATGATGATCTTGTTTTGTGATTCAAAAAGTTTCAGATCTTTAACTGTGGGCGACGGTGGCACAGGAGTTAAGTGCTCGCCCCGTAATCAGAAGGTTGCAAGTTCGAGCCCCGCTCAGTCTGTCGCTGTCGTTGTGTCCTTGGGCAAGACACTTAACCCACGTTGCCTGCCGGTGGTGGTCGGAGGGACCGGTGGCGCCTGTGCTCGGCAGCCTCGCCTCTGTCAGTGCGCCCCAACACATATATATGGCAGCTGTGGCTACATTATAGCTCATCCCCACCAGTGTATGAATGTGTGTGTGAATGGGTGAATGACTGATTGTGTTGTAAAGCGCCTTGGGGGGTTCCAGGGCTCTAGAAGGTGCTATATCAAATACAGGCCATTTAGAACTTCTTTTTATTAATTGTGCTTCACTTTTTTATATTTTCAGCTGGACACCTTGTCCAAAGAAGACCTGATCAAATATGCCAAAAAGCAGATTGCTGCAATGCAAAAGATGAAGGGCAGGTGTGCAGGTCAGTATAAATGCTTTGTGGTGACTTTGTGGCTGCTTGGGGCCAAAAGTGCACAAATTTGTGACCTTTCATTATTTCTCTTTTCAGATTTGGAAAAAGAAGTTGAAACTCTTAAACAGCAATCCAAAAACAGTGAAAGAAGTTTAGATGATGCCTCCCTAATACAGGTTTGGCCTTAGAGCTGCTTTCCTGCTAGGTTGCTGTTTTCTGTTTACGCTTTGTTAACTGGGTGGGTATGTAATAGGAGCTGACAGAGAGGATGGACACCTTACTCCTAGAGAAGGCAGAAACTCAGCAAAGTCTTTCACTCCTATGTAAAGTACTGGAGAAAACCAAGCAGCAAGCCAAGGTGAAACACTAAACTCAACCCTTGTTATAGGAATGTTTTAGGAGACTTTAGTAAATCTCTGAACACCGACAGTTTGTGTTTATTTTACTCAGGAAGAACTGGCTGAGCTGCAAGGTGAGCATGAGCGTGCAATGGAAGACCACCAAAACAAGATCAAAACTCTGGAACGCAGCATTGAAGAATCCCGAGGCCAACACCAGGAGGAAGTGGCTTATTTTCAGAAATTACTCAAAGAGCAAGAGGAGCTTGATAGAGAAAGGGAGAGTGAAAGGGAGAAAGAGCGCAAAGCAGATTCTGACAGGGCTAAAGAGGCTGCAGAAGTCAGGCGCTGCTTAGCAGCTCAGCTGGAAACTCTTCAAGCTGAACTGATGGAAAACAAAGAGGAAAATTCCCTTGAGATGGCTGAGTTACAGGAGAATTACCAGAGGGAGATAACGAAGGCCCAGCAGGAGCTGGAGAACCTGAAGGAGGAGCTGGCTCAGAAGAGTCTGCAGCACGAGGAGGAAATGAAAACTCTGGAGGAGGATTGTGAGATCGAGAGGGAGCGTCTGTTGTTGCTCACCGACGAGCTAACTGAGCAGCTTGCTCTCAAAGGTACAGCCGAACGAGCATTTCCTGTTCATGATTCATCTATCCAAACATTAGTAAAGATTATAAACAACTGTTGCTTCACAGTAAAGGAACAATTTTAACCTAGTTCATTATTGTTCCAGAAAGCTACTTGCAGGATGTTCAAGAGGAAGATGAAGAAGCTGCCCGTGGTTCAGGGATTGCCAAAATGCTGGAGCTGTCTGGATGCAAACAGGTTGATCCCTCTGGTGAAGGAGAAGAGACGGAGATGAGCCGGCTGAGAGCTGCTCTGGAGGACCTACAGTCCCAGAACACCATGCTGCAGGATGAACTGACCTTGCTCAGTAATGTAAAGACAGAGCTCGAGGCAGAAATGGAGCGGGCCAGGGAGGAGTTTCAAATAGAAAAAGAAGAGTTAGAGTTTAAAATTAATGAGCTGCAGATGATCAAAGATCCTGAATCAGTGATAACTCTGGATTCTGACCAACAAGAGATCCAAGGAGAAAGCTCGACAAAAGACCAAAACTTCCTGAATGTAGAGGAGCATGTGAAGCTGAACGAGAAGCTGAGAAGCCACTGTGAGGCTTTGACCCAAGAACGAGACACTGCTGTAGCTGAGTGCCAGCACATGAGAGACATCCTTCAAAATGTGGAGACACAACTGGGTGAGAAGACAAATGATTTTGTTCGGCAGTACAGTGCCATGAAAGAACAGGGAGCTATTACTGTCCAAGACCTCCAGGACAAGATCGAACAGCTCCACCTCGAAAAAGACGAGCTGTCAGTGAGGATGAATGAAGTCACACAAGAGAGAAGCTCTCTGATGGAGAATATTCTAGAGCTTAAGCTGAAACTTGAGGTTTCCTCAAATGAAAACCAAAGACTTTTGTCTTCTGTAGAGGAACAAACCAGTTTAGCCAGTGAGTTGAAACAATCAGTGCAGGATCTGATGAGCCAAAATGAGATCTTGTCCCAACTCAAAATGAAGGAGAGTACAATTCAAGATTTGAATGAAGTTGTCCACTCACTCACAGAAGATCGAGATGAAATACAGCATCAGTTAAAGGTCAAAGAAGATGAAATGCAAAAGCTGGTTGATGAGAGAACAAATGAGATCGAGAAGCTGCTTCAGGAGAAGGAAAGAGAAGCACTTTTGCTCAGAGAAGAGAAAGAAAAACAGCTGGAAAACCTGAAAACGAAAACGGAGAACGAAATGACAGAAATTAGAGGAGAGAGAGAAACGGTGGAAGGAAGTCTTAGAGAGAAGCTGGTGGTCCTGGAGGAGAAATGTTCTGCTTTAGAGCTGAGCGTTAAAGAGCTCTCCACAGAGAAGACGGGTCTCCATCAGGAACTGGAGCAGGCTCTATCAGAACTTTCCAGGGTTCAGGAAGATGGGCAGCATTTAGGGTCTAAGCTGGGAGCACTGGAAACTCAGATGGAGCAGATGGCATCTGAAAAACAGCAACTGGAGGAAAAGTTTAAATCCCTGATGGATGAGGCTGAACAAGCCCCCGGCTCCATGAGAATGCAGGAGCAAAATCATGCTGCAGTTCTCCAAATGTCCACAGAAAAGGTCAAAGAATTCCAAACACGTGTGGATGAGCTGGAGAAGGAGAGAGGCCTGATAAAAAGCAGACTCACAAAAGAGGCTAAAGCCGAAAGAGGGTCAGAAGAGATGCTGCAGGACCTGCAGAGCCACATCAAAGACCTGGAGAAGGAGAGAGACATGCTGAGAACAGACCTGGAGGACAAGATGAAATATGCTGAAGGGCTGCAGAAAGAGCTGCAGGCTGTGAGGATGGTTAGTGAGGAGAACCAGACACTCCAGGCTCAGATCTCCCTGGCTAAACGTGAGAAGGTGGAGGAGGTGGGAAGGAAGCTTGAGAACGTAGAGAAACTCAGCAGAGAGCTCCAGGATCAGCTGACTGAGAAGGAGTCCCTTGTGTCCCAGCTAAGGAGGGAAATGGAAGCTTTTCGGGTGGGCGGGGCTTCTGATTCAGTTTTACTTGGGTCTCTAATTTATGCTTTTAAAATATAAGCAGGAAAACTCGTAAGTGGTGACTGTTTTCTTTTTCTAAATTTTCTTCAGAAATCTGCCCAGGTGGCATCCTCTGATCAACCCGAAGACGACGAGATGACAAAGAAATTAGGTGATGTCATGTTGCTTCGCCGTCCATAAGAAGCCATTTTATTGTTCTGTTAACGTGTTTAATAAAAAGTTTAAAATTTTCCCTTTTCTTTTTTTATTTTCAGCTCTTCTGGAAAACGAAATCAAAGGAAAAGATGAGAAGATCAACAAAATCAAGGCTGTTGCAGTCAAAGCCAAGAAGGAGCTGGACAGCAGTAAGAAGGAGGTAACGTAAGAATTATGTCACACTTAAATAGTAGATGTCATCTTGCTCAAAAACTTGTAATACATAATAAAAAAGCTCTGAAATGTAAACATTGCAGCAGAACTTAGTCATTTCAGGCCTGGTGAAAGTACATTATTTTGTTTAGTGATCAGTGGTGATTACACGTGGCTCTATTTATTATTTTCTGCATTTTCAGGTTCAGACTCTGAAAGAGGAAATAGAGTCACTGAAGGCAGAACGGGAGAAAGTAAACAGCTCTATGAAAGACATCATCCACGGTGCTGAAGGCTACAAGGTATCACACGCCGAGTTCACCTGAATTTGTGCACAAAGCAGTAGCTCAACAGGTTGAGTGGGTTGTCCAGTAATCGGAAGGTTGCAGGTTTGATCCCGGCTCCGGACAGAGAATTCTGCTGTTGTGTCCTTGTGTCCTTGAGCAAGACACTTAGTCCACCTCTTGCCTGCTGGTGGTGGTCGGAGGGACCGGTGGCGCCTGTGCTCGGCAGCCTCGCCTCTGTCAGTGCGCCCCAGGGCAGCTGTGGCTACATGGTAGCTCATCACCATCAGTGTGTGAATGTGTGTGTGAATGGATGAATGATACACTGTAGTGTAAAGCACTTTGGAATCCTTACTCTGAGAGGCGCTATACAAGTGCAGGTCATTTATCATTTATGTTTGTTTATTCATTTAGCAGACGCTTTTATCCAAAGCGACTTACAATTTATAACTATAGGGCATGTTGTAATATTAATATATATTAATTTGCTTAGTAACTTAAATTATAACATCGACTGCATGTGAAAATAAAAAGTAACGTGAAGGGTTTACAGGTGACATTTTAGACTTGGGACTAATTTATGGGAAAGCACAGCTGTGAGCTTCCGCCGAAAGGCACAAGGACATGACGCAGCGGCAAAGACAGCTCCTATTGTAAATGAATGATAAACAACTCGCACTTGTATAGTACCTTTCAGAGTCGGAGGACTCCAAAGCGCTTTACACTACAGTGTATCATTCATCCGTTCACACGCCGATGGTGATGAGCTACTGTAGGGGAATATTGTTTTATATTCTTACACTTTTTATTAGGTCCAGATATTTTAATCAGAAGAGGTTGTTTTTACTTCAGGGAGTTTTATTTAAACACTTTGTATTGACTTAGAGACAAGAAAAGAGAGAGTTGGGATCGTAACGCTACACTACCATGTAGCTACAGCTGCCCTGGGGCTCACTGACAGAGGCAAGGCTGCCGAGCACAGGCGCCACCGGTCCCAGAATCTTCTGTCTGGAGCCAGGATCTAACGATTACTAGACAACCCACACAACCTCTGAGCTGCAAAGAAAGGTAGAGAAGTGTGTGCTGCACAGAGATTATCAACAGTAGTTTCAGTTAAAGACGTTTTTAATTTGAGAGAATGTACCAGTGTCTAGGGTTGTCATGTCCTTCGCCTTTCGGCTAAAGCTCACAGCTGCACATTGTCCTAAAGTGTAAAATAATGCCTGTAAAGCCTGTGTGTTACTTTTTATTTTAACATGCAGTCAAAATGGTTAGGTCACTAAGCAGTTGTATCACTGCCAAGGACTTTTTCTCACAATGATAGTTGGTACCATTCACTTACTGTGTTTTGTGCTAAGCTAAAGCTAAAGAAGTACCGCCGGGTCAGCAGAATGACTGGGCTGATTACAAATGGCTTTTTCCCACTTTTGTGATGCTGGGAAATATGTCAACAGACACAAATATCCCTTTAAGTAATAAAACTAAGAATATTATGTGGATTTTACAAAGATGGCAGATTATTTGTAGCTAGATTGACAACAGAAAGTGTGCAATTCAAAAAAAGCAGCAGGGGTGAAGGGACTCAAAAGAGATTATTTACTGGGTTTGTTGGAAGCAGTGGTGGTTGTAAATAAAAAAAGAACATTATATTTTCTAATATTTGTCTCCTGTTTTTCAGTTTCACTACTTTGTGGTGGTGTATTTTAGAAATGAGACAGTTTTAACCATTAGTAGGCAAGGCAGCTTCATTTATGGAGCACATTTCAGACACAGAGGTAATTCAATGTGCTTTACAATTAGCAGGAAATGACATGAAAACATGTAAAAACACAAATTAAAATACACACAGATAGAATTACAGTTTAGAGCTAAAGGAGAAGACAAAGTTACAGCGCAGATTACAGTGGAGACGACGCAGCATGAGAAACCATTCATGTAAAGGCTGATGAGTACATGAGGGTTTTAGTTGTGTTTTAAACAGCACTAGGGTTGGGGCACATCTGAGGTCATGGGGAAGCTGATTCCATATGTGAGCAGCATAGTAACTAAATGCATCTCCACCATGTTTGGTTCTGACCCGCGGTTCTACCAGCTGACATGGTTCTGACCCGCGGTTCTACCAGCTGACATGGTTCTGACCCGAGGTTCTACCAGCTGACATGGTTCTGACCCGCGGTTCTACCAGCTGACATGGTTCTGACCCGCGGTTCTACCAGCTGACATGGTTCTGACCCGAGGTTCTACCAGCTGACATGGTTCTGACCCGAGGTTCTACCAGCTGACATGGTTCTGACCCGAGGTTCTACCAGCTGATTCTGACAAGGGATCTCAGAGCCCTATTGGGTGTGTATACAGGAATGAGATTGGACATGTATTCTGGCCCCATGTCACTGAGTGATTTATAAACTAGTAGAAGCACTTAGAAGTCTATTCTGCAGTTTACTGGTAACCAGTGTAGGGATGTAAGAACAGGAGTGATGTGCCCGTTCCCTCAGTTCTTGTTAAGACTCTAGCGGCAGCATTCTGAACAAGCTGCAGTTGCTTCACAGCTTTTTTGGAAAGACCAGTTAGGGGACCACTGCAGTAGTCCAGCCGACCAGAAATAAAAGCATGAATGAGTTTCTCTAAGTCTGGTCTGGGCATGAGACCTCTGACTCTTGATGATTGATGAAGGTGATAAAAGGCTGATTTAGTTATAGCCTTCATATGTCCTGAGAAGCTCAGGTCTGAGTCACTGATGACACCAAGAAGTAGTAGTAGTTTAAAAACTAGAACTGTTATCAACAGATTTACAACATGATGAATCAAATATAAAGTTTTAAGGTGGTATTTAGAGTAAGGCGTTGTTGGTTGAAAGGGGCGAAGCTATTATTTATCTGTATTTTACCCAAATAAAAAGAACAGTGTAGATAAACCTAAAGTGAAACCAACATTCTCCAATTAACATTTAAATCTGTCTCATTCTTTCTTATGGTTTGGTGCTAAGTGGCGAGTGGAAGTGTGCGCTCTTTAAAGCATAACACAGCTCCCAGTGGTGTCTATAAACGGCACCCAGACTCTTACGCCTAAGAGGAAACTGCTCTGTTGAGTCTAATGAGAGTTTTGTCCCAAACGTCAGTGCAGATAGTTAGCCTTCACTGAGCTGTTAAGCCATCTCCATTAAGGAGTATTGAAGGTGTGTGTGTGTGTGTGTGTGTGTGTGTGTGTGTGTGTGTGTGTGTGTGTGTGTGTGTGTGTGTGTGTGTGTGTGTGTGTGTGTGTGTGCAGAACCTGCAGATAGATTACGACAAGCAGACCGAGCAGCTGGACAAAGAGCGAGAGAATCTGGAGGCAGCGGAGAGACAGATTGCTGATCTGACCAAACGACTCAGCAGTGCTGTCACACAGGTAACTGGAAAACACACTCCATCATACACACACACACACACACACACACACACACACACACACACACACACACACACACACACACACACATTACAGCGAGTCGAGAGACAAAGTGCCCTTCGGGTCCAGTAAATCTTGGCTTTGGGACTCTATCCAGCAATACTTTAAGCATAACTCTGTTTCCATATGATTTAAAGAGTCATTTTAGCCAGCAACACTTCTCCCAGATAAATCTGACAGGCGGGCTCCCACAAACAGCCCATCAGACGTGACTGGGTGAGCAAGGGAGAAATTGTTTTTATATACACTCGTTTCATCGAAGCTGTCTTTTTGCAACCAGAGAACCGCCAAGTAAATGGAGCGGGGTGTAGCCTCCATCTGTGCTTTTTCTGAGACACCGCTTCATTCTCATATTTACTTATGGGTCCCTGGGGAAGCACACAGACTGATGCTGGTTCGGGATCTCAGGGTACGTCCCGACGTCTCAGTTTACCCATCACACTTCCAGTGTTTGGCTGACAGCTGACCGGAGAAGGCTGGAGCTGGCGCTGGTTGAGTATTCTGTTTAGAGAACGCCCTCAGAGCCTGCTGCTGTCAGATTCACGTGGATGATTTTCAGAGTTTGGTGCATTTGCCTCCAAGCATGTGTTCTACAGAAAGTCTCCACTAAGGAAAACTAGAACAAGCCCTCCACCTTTCATCCCCTTAGATTATTTGACTGGATTCCTCCTGACACCGTAGTTAGAGAATATTGTTTTGTTTTGTTTTGCAGACGGAAACACTGAGCAGTGAGAAGGAGGATCTGTTGGCTGGTTTGGAGACCATGAGGAGCACAGTGAAGCAGTTGGAGGTCAAGAACCAGGAGCTGCAGAAACAATTAGCAAATCAAGACAATGACCTCCTGGCTGAGAGAACAATGAAGGAGCAAAAGCTTAAGGTAGAAAACGGAGAGAAACAGAAGCATGAGCAGATTTAGATTTTGCACAGGTTCACCAGAAAAATGTGTTGCCCTTTTATTATATAATATACGTTTAAGCCCCTGATATGTGTTGTAATAGATCAGTTTCACATGATTGAAGCTAAAAGACCTGACAGTTTGTTTGCGTTTCCCTCACCAGGATTTGTCATCTGCCACGAAGGAGGTGGAGGAGCTGACAGCTCAGCTCCGCAAGCAGCAGCAGCAATCTCAGCAGGCCGCTCAGGAACTGGAGCAGCTACGCAAGGTACGCCAGCACCGAAGTGGTCTCTCAGAGCAAAATCCGGTCAAGGCACTGAACTGCTTATGACTGCCCTGAAGCTACAGCTGCACCTCAGAGAGAGAGAGAGGGAGCAGCTTTAGCCCACAGCCCAAAGAGCTGCTGTTAGTTTCCATTAGTGGAGACCTGAATGTTCCAGCAGGGTGCATGACAGCTGCCTGCAGGTCTGGCTTTGTCTGGGGTCCACTTTACTGGTTTCATCTAGAGAAACGGACTTTCTCAGGCTAGTGTTTGTGCCGAGTCTAGGGAGAATTTTATATTTAAACATTTTAAAATAGGTTTTATTTTACTTTTTACAATAAGATATAGTAATTATATTTGATTACATTCATACAGAAAATACAACGTATTGCTTGGACTTTAGAGTGAATTCAATTCAGTTTATTTTTATAGCGCCAAATCACAGCAAGAGTCATCTCAAGACACTTCTAATTAAACCCACTTATTATTCAAATTAGTTAAAAGTTTCCTTTATAAGGACAGTGGAGAGGAAAACTCCCTTTTACTAGGAAGAAACCTCCAACAGCCATCTGAGCAGCCATCTGTCACGACCATCGACATAAATATACTGGACATCTCCTTTCCATAGGCTCCAATATCACATTTTTGAGGCCAAATGGGAGGTGGCCACCGCCGCCATTTTGACCGTGTATTCCCCTCATCCGCTGGGTGGAACTGCAGTTTATTTCATTTCCGGGTTTGACTCAATTTTAGAGATGCATTGTGGGGGCTTGGTCACGCCTCACTGGGGTTTAGGACAGAGCACACACACACACACACACACACACGCACACACACACACACACACACACGCACACATGAACTAGTAGCACATTTTATGATAAAGAAAGTAAAAAGTTCATATCAGGAGTTGCTAAATCAAACATTGTATTGTGTTTGTCACGTATACTTAAATTTTTGCAAAGATCTGTAAAGGTCATGTCCTTAAATAGGGTTTTAGCCAAAAGCATGTGATTATTTTTCTGTTCAACATGTGGAACAGACCACAGATGCATCCAGGTGCTTTTTACAAATGCATCTGATGTAACAGGAAAGTTTTCAGAAGAGAGCTAATGCTACTCTTGGACCAGCAGGACAGTATCTCCAGAACCAGATACAGTCTTAAACTGGACATTGTACTAAATCGGGTTAATCGCCCGATAATGGGCTAACTAGTTTTATCACTAAACACATTTTTCTTTGTCTGACTGAGAAGCTTCAGCTCTCTTCACATTAATGATGTAGTACTTTGACTCTGCCACTAGGAGGCGCAGCAGAATTCCCTGCTGGACATGGAGATGGCCGACTATGAACGTCTGGTGAAAGAACTCAATGGCAAGCTGAGGGAGAAAGAGGCGCAGCAGGAGGAGTTAAAAGCCCAGATTAGCAGCTTCACTCAGAAGCAGGAGACGCTCAAGCAGGAAATCGGTACCAATGCAATGTTTCTGTACTTAATAAAGTTTCATTCAAATAACAGTTTGTTGTTGGTTAGTTTTACCCCATAGATTCCAAAATCCTTAAATTCAGATTTATTTTATTAGAAAATACAAAAGTAGCATCAGTAATTCCTGCATATTCCTAACGATTGACCTCGTTGTGCAGCTGTAGCATCGTTGATGTGTTTATCTGTAACGTCCACCGTGTTTTCTGGTGCTCCATGCAGTCAGTTAGCAGCAAGGTGACAGACTAGACCATAAATATCACTGAATATTTTTTTTATTTCATTTTTTGTCATGCTCGTGTGCACAAATCTCACATCACGTCTCCAGAGGCTTTGAAGTCTCATTTGGACCAGGAAGAGGAGAAGACCATGAAGATGAAACAGCTGCTGGTGAAGACAAAGAAAGACTTGGCAGATGCCAAGAAACAGGTGTGTGTGTGTGCGTGCGTGTGTGTGTGTGTGTGTGCGTGTGTGTGTGCGTGCGTGCGTGTGTGTGTGTGTTATCCAGCCTTGTGTAGGCATGGCTGTGACTACATGTCTCTGTGCTGATGGTGGTTTTTATCTGTGTGTGTTCAAACATGCAGGAAAGCTCGCTGATGATGGTTCAGGCTTCTCTGAAAGGAGAGCTGGAGGCTAACCAGCAGCAGCTCGAAAGCTCTAAGGTAACAATTGGAGAACTTCCCAGAACCCAGCAGCTGATCCTTACGCAGCTGCATCCTAAACTGTGTGCTTGTGCTTTTAGATTGAGGTGTGTGAGCTGACAGCCGAGCGCCATCGTCTGCAGGAGCAGCTCAGGTCTGCGCTGGAGCAGCAACACCGAACCAGCAGCTCCCTGCAGCAACGCATCCACGGTCTGCAGCAGGACAGAGACACCGCTAAGGTAACATTCCTTTCTAGGCCTCGTTCTGAAGTTTTATTCAACATTCACTCAGGAAGCTCAATGGGATAGGAACAAAGGTGAAGGGCACTGTTCAAGTAAACATGATCACTACTGAGATAAATGCTCACATAAAGGTTAAGACACCAATAATTGGTGCATGGTGGCGCAGTGGTTAGCACTGTTGCCTCGCAGCATGAAGGTTGCAGGTTCGAAACTCGGCTGCGGCCTTTCTGCGTGGAGTTGCGTGTTCTCCCCATGCATGCGTGGGTTTCCTCCGGGTACTCCGGTTTCCCCAACAGATCACAACATGCCCTATAGGTTATAAACTGTAAGTCGCTTTGGATAAAAGCGTCTGCCAAATAAATAAACAAATAATTCCACATATTGGAATAAAACATAACAGAACTCTGTGTGAGGTTTGTTCCAGGTATTAAAAACCTAATTTTAAAGCATTTCAAGCCGGTTAGGGTAATTCATGAAATGTTTCTGGGCATATTTAGATGAGCTGCGGTTTCTCTTATTAGAGGTAGATTGTGTGATTTAAAGAACAAAAGTGTCTCTGTAGAGAAACGTGTTACTTTTTCATCATCCGTTTGTTTTTCCAGGCTGAGCTTGTAACAACAACCAGTGAGTTTGAGAGTTACAAGGTACGAGTCCACAATGTGCTGAAGCAGCAGAAGAGCAAAACCAGTGCCCAAAGCGAAGGAGACTCTGGCAAAAGAGAAAGGTGAGATCAATGTGACGGTGCAGTAAAGCAATCAGGTGACGTCCACCTTAATAAAGACTCAATCAGCAGGTTACTTTATTTTATTTACTTTATTTAAAGAGAGGACATTGCATATTTATGAACAGCAATACAACTAAATATGCCAGATTGTAGCCTTAGGCTAATCTCCATCTGCAGTCCTCTGGCAGGTTCATGTAAAGAGGTAAGACAGACAACAATATACATTTAAAAAAAAAATAAATAAAAACAGTTAGGAACTTATTTTACAAAAAAGACAAGAGTAAAAACAAAAGTCTCATCTATGATTGCATCTTTGAGTTTCCTGTAGCCACAGTTTGAATTGTCTTTTGAAAATAATAAAACTTGAGCTTTCTCTCACTTGAGTAGGAATGCTGTTCCAAAAAGTCGAGCCCTGGAATGACAGAACATTTTGAGAAAATGTCGTTCGCCTAAGCGTGCGCTCACAGTCACCTCCAACTGTAGCTCGAGTTAATCGGGAAGAGTCCCTATGTGACTTTTGAATATTAAAATCATTCAGTGGTGGAGGGGCTAGACCATGAATAACTTTATACACCAGGCAAGCAGATTTAAAATGTTTAAAATTTTGGAAACTCTGTATAGAATATTTATCCAGAATCGGACAGTGATGATACATTGGCTTTTTGTCCAGGAATTTCCTTGCCCTTTTATAGCAGGACTCAACAGGTCTGATAACAGAAGAGGCTGTAAATGACCAGCTGGTGATGTTACAGCGATGTTCCCTTCACTCTACCCTCCAGTGAAATGTGTTGGAAACAAAACCAGAATAAAAGGTTAAAACGCCACTTCTTAGCAACTGTTTCAGCCAATTTTATATATATAGTATATTATCATTATCATCATCAAGGCTCCTGCGAAGGGTCGGGTGTCATCCCGCATCAGTGCGTTGAGCCTACCAGGTAAACTAGTTGTCTCCAGTGCTGGCGGTTTCGTGCCAGCTGCTCTGCATTTGCTACAGCAACTCCGAATAGTTGGGAGGTCGCCCGCAACAACAAAGAGCCATCGGGTCATCTCCAGCCTGCGGCCCACGGGTCAAACTGCAGAATGGCTCTGGTCGAGTGGTCAAAAGAAGGACGGAGGACATGGCCGAGCCAGTGGGTGTGGCGTTGCGCTGCCAGGCAAGATGCACTGGGCTGGCACGTGCGTTCTCTTCACACTTGGTTGGAGACCCGCTGGGGCCACCTGATGTTCTCAATGTTCTCAGAGCCCTGCTATCAAAGCTATCCATTCTTCTGGCCAGTGAATTCGTTTTGTCCTCACAAGCTCACATAGAAGGAAACATGGAGTTTAATATGGCATTGCCCAAAGACTTGGACCCACTGTCATGTATTTTAGATCTGATTTTTATGGTTATATGTTACAAAGCTGCCAATATTTATTCAGGAAATGACTTAACTGACCTTTGGAGTTTTAAAGCCATACACACACACACACACACATATATAGATATAGATATATAGATAAGTATTTTAATGTGAAATCTAAAAGCATGCTTAAATCAAATATAACCATCAGTACATGCTACATAAATCAATCATTTCTTTTAAGAAACTAAAAGTATAAAAAAGATTCAAAGCATCAGGAAAAACTCAATAAGCCTAGGGAAATCACAGATTGTGTACATGGTGCAGACAACACTCATCAGGAGAATGATCCACATGAAGGCTGCTAAAGCGAATCTGCAGAACAAGCTCGGTTCAGTCACAGAACACTCGGGCATCCTCCATGAGATGCTTCTGCTGGAACCAGAAGCCCACCATACCGGAGGAAAAGAGATGGCGCTAAACACCTACCGCTGTTTTCTAGGTCCACACGTCTTTTGTTGTTCGTTACTTCAAATGGAGTTGTTCTTTTTGGGACTCTGGTAGTTTGTCCTAAAGCTGAAGTGGTAGCAGCCAGCTGTTTCTCCTTCTCTGGTGTTACCGAGCGGAGAACCTCTCACACCTGTGGTGTTCTGGTGCTGAATACATGAGTGTTTGATGAGTGGAGGACCAGGGAAGTGTGACGGTTCGGTGAGACCAACGACTGGATGGTCCAATCAATGGTTGGTTTGTTGGTGGAGGCCTTTAGACAAATGCAAGAGAACCACTATATTCATTTTTAATTATTTCTAATCTCCACAATATATTTATAGCTATAGTATGTTAGAATGTTGTTAAGAGGCATGATAAAATGTTTTAAAATTTGCCGTTGCGGCTTTAAGGCTGTAACTCTAATATGAACATGTGGTATCCTTTGCAGGGAGCAGTTGTCCTCCCAGGTCGACCAGCTGAGGACCAGACTGACGGAGAGCCAGCAGAGCCTCCTGAGCAGCACAGCAGAGCTGCAGCAGCTCCAGACCGAACACGACACTCTGCTGGAGAGACACAACAAAATCCTGCAGGAAAACATCAGCAAAGAAGCTGAGCTCCGCGAGAGGTTTGTTGTTTTAACATCTCAGCTGGAGTTTCTCGTGCTATTTTTGTTCTCAGTGCTTAGCCATCCTTGTTATTTTGCTTTTATAAGATGCCATAAAAACCAAAAACAAATATTGTTTTCCTGTCAGATGCCATGGAAATATCTTTGAGCAATCACTGATCTTGTTTTATACTTTCCTCCATTTCCACCTCAAGGGTTTTGTCACTGCAGTCGGAGAATGTGGCGCTGCGGTCGGACCTGTCCCAGGCTCAAACTGACCTGTCCTCCCAGGCTGAGGCCCAGCGGCACACCTACAGGGAGCAGCTGAGGAAGCTGCAGGACGACCACCGGGCCACCATGGAAATGCTGCAGGGACAACTGACCCGAGTTGAGGAGCAGCTCTTCAACCTTCAGAGCCAGAGCAGTAAGTTTAAAGCAGAACCTTCTCAGTGGCCTAGTGGTAGAGTGTCCACTGGGACTGAGAAGTCGGGGTTGAAAGACTGTAAAAATGGGACCCAATGCCTCCCTGCTTGACACTCAGCTTTAAGGAGTTAGATTGGGGGTTAAACCGCCAAATAGTTCTCGAGCGCAGCCAACGCTGCAGCTCACCGCTCCCCACGGGGATGGGTCACATGCAGAGATGTCATTTCACCAGCCTGTGATGATGACTCTAAAGTAGAGCAGCCTTCTTCACAGTAGTAAACAGGCCTGATGATGCTTTTATATTTTATTATATACTTTAGAGATATTTAAAGAATCAGAGGTTTAGAGCATTGAGGTTCTGTCTCGTTTTCTCTTCCACTCATTGAGAGGAATGGGTTTATGAGTGTTGCTGCACTGAGAGCTCATCCATCACCTCCCACACAGCTGCCCTGTGGAGCCTAACACTCCAGTGTGTGTGTGTGTGTGTGTGTCATCTCTGTCGCTTCAGCATGGCCAGGTGCTGGCAAGACTCCTCAGCTGAGTTCCTGCCTCAACAGTGTGGCAACGGCTCTCTGTGGCATCTGGAAGGACTCGTCATTAGTGGCTCACACATCAGCTCTGGGCCAATATTCCCTTTTTTAAGCATTATTTGGCCCATTTCACCATGATATCTGAATTTAACTGCAGCTAAAATGGGGATTGACCAATCTTTTGTGCCTCACTGTCCATATCAGGCAGGAAGGTTTTTAATCAGCTCGCCTCAAATTGTAATTAAACAATGAAAGTGATCTTTGTTTTAGCTATAAATGATGCAGTTTTCTTGGGTTAGTCCTGCTAAATGAGATTTCAGACTAACTAGCTATATGATGCCCCCTGCTGGTCTAAAATCGTACAACACCGCTGCTGCACTGAGTCGGCCTCTTGGTTCAGTCACAATCACAGATCTTCAGTCGATCTACGCTCTAGTCTTCACTCTTGTGATTGTTGATCCCGTCTAACTGGAAGTGGAGTGGTCCGATTACGCAGTGTCAGCACCAACAAACAGGGATCATTGATTTTTCTGTTATTGGTATTAGCTTCATAAAAACTGCGTAAAACAGGTTGTAGGAAAGGGGGGACATTATAGCAGCACTGTCATGGTTGTGTTTTAAATCCCAGGTTCTGTGTCAGTCCAGTCCAGCCGTAAGCCCCTGGCATCAGACCCTCAGCGCAGAATTGCTGATCAGAACCAGCCAGGGTTGGGAATAGCAGCCTTCAGCGACCTCCAGTCTATGGCAAGGGAGGAGGGAGAGGGCATGGAGACCACAGAGATGGAGAAATCCTCCCCAGCTTTTACATCCCTGCTCTCTCTGGAGCAGTTGCTCACATCCCCAGATCCCAAACAAGGTGTGTTTGATGCTGAAGGTTCATTTTAATGTAAACAACATTTGACAGTAAATAGTTTTAATTTGATTTTAACTTTTCTTCATTAGAGCCTTTTGTGTGGGCGGTGGAGCCGACCAAAGAGGAGTTACGTGAGAAGCTGAACACGGTTACCCGCAGTATGGAGCACATGAACAGTCTCCTGCATGAAACCGAAGCCACCAATGCTGTTCTCATGGAGCAGATCACAGTACGTACCTTTGAGTGCATGTTTTTAACTCATTCACTGCCACTGACGACTAAAGTCGTCATTTGCATGTTTTTATTGTGTGCGCATCGGACGAGCCCCCGCACTGTGAGAACAAACATCCCAGCTCTAAAGCTGATCTTCATCCGCATACGTCACGTGATCAAGAAGCAGAAAATCCATGTGTTAGGAGATCGTTTTGGGCCGCTGCTGTAAAAAAAAAAAAAAGCGAGGCATGAACCGGAAAAGTTTCTGCCGATCACAATTCAACAACGGATTATGAAAGAACGGATAACGCTCGAAACGCGCGGATTTTTCCTTATGTAAGAGGTGAGTCTCCTCATTGTTTTGGTAGTTTTGGCGTCTACATCATCCTAGCGCGCAGTAAAACAGTAAAAACGGTGAGAAATGCTGGCAGCGACGACCTTTACCGATCAGGAAACGGCTGGCAGCGAATGAGTTATAGAGCAAGTCACCCCCTACAAGAGTATTACTCTGCTCCCACTTCCTGTTTGAAAAATGCAACAAATGCTGTTGCCTAGCAGACAGAGAGGGCGGAGCGGCTAACAAACACACACACACACACACACACACACACACACACACGCACACACACACACACACAGGCTCACAATGACATTGTGACATCATATGGTACCAGCTAACGTTCTAGGGTACCTCTTAGCCAATAGTGATGGCAGATTTAAATTCAGATGCAGTGCAGAGTTTTTACCTGACAACGACACAACACTGACAGTTTTAGGCGGAAAATTAAAATTTTTACTAAAATACACTTAAGTACAAAACTATTGACTACACGTGTCTGCAGCATGATTAGATACGCATTTATATAGTTTATCAGAGAAAAAAGGTTTATTTGGGGGTGACTTGCTCTTTAAATCTGAAAATATCCACGCATCATGATTCATGTCTGATACCACCTCACCTTTAACTGGTTTCAAATGTTTTATTAGCTGGAACAGAAATAATGAAAATCCAAGTCGGTAGCAGGTCAGTAAGCACATTAAAATGCCCTGTAGGCTCCAACGGTGACATCAAAAAGACGGACGTTGTTTACAGTCCCATCTTTGTCCAGAAGGAAGTAGAGCCTGTGACCTTTGATCCTGAGGGGGATGAAGGAGGGAGACTCCTGTCTGTGCGCGTGGCAGGCTATCTGCGACAGCGGGACTGTTATGGTCCTGCCCTGGCCCGGTCCCAGGGGGGACTGGGTCCAGACACTCACCATCTTACCGCCCTGATGTAGAACCACTTTACTGACGGAGCGTCGGCAGAACAGTGCCCCGAGCCCGACTATCCCTGCTCCTAGAGCCAGGCACGCCAGCGTGAAGCCATACCTCCAGGCGTTTGATCCCAGGTTCATCTCAAAGCTCCACATCCCGGCCAGTCCCGTGGTGATGGGCTGCTTGGCTCTCCCATTATCTTTGGTTCCGCTCGTGTCTTTGAGCCCAGTGAAAGCGAACTGGGCCAGATACGTCCAAAAGATAAACTGACCGCCACAAAACAGCGAGAGAAGCCGGAAGAACTTGGTTCTGTCGTGTTCAAACAAGGTTACATCTCTGGAGGGCTGGGTGGATGTGCAGAAACCACGGCTGCCTGGGTGGACACCACCGAACCGTTCAGATCCATTCACGAGCCGGGTAGACACGCTGCTGCTCGGAGAAGCCTCCGCCGACATCGAGGCGTTGCAAAAGAGTCGGACTTTCTGAGGAACATAACCGAATCGGAAGTGAGAGGAGTAACGCTCCAGAGTTCCACACAGTAGCCGCTCCAACCCCATAACTCTCTAGTAGCCTTCTTTCAACCGTGTAATAACAAAAAGTGCCCCAACTCTAATTAGGTTTCTACCACAGAGGCCGTCGCCATCTTTGTTTGGCGTCATTTGGTCAAGTCTCGCGAGAATAACGTTTTCCTAACAAAACTTGATTTAGTTTTAAAACAAAAACATTGTCACAAAACACAATGTAAAAAAACCACCTAAATAAGATATTTTAGACAAATACGTTTAAAGTGTTTACATATAATTTTACCTAGTAGAGTACATATTATACATACTGTACACATGATTATGTACTTGAACTGCATTGCACCTGCTTTGATCATTTAAAGGGGCATTATGGAAGTTTGACAGCCAAAACATGTATAGAAATAATACGTTTCTTCTTCATACATTCTCCTGCAATGCCCTGGTCCTGTAAAATGAGCCCTGGCATTTTTACTGTGATTGCCTGTTTTTCTGTAAAATCACAGAAAAAGAGAGCACGCTCAGGCTTAGCCGAACCGTTCTTAAATGGTACAGATACAAGTGACGTCACTGGCCTGTTAGCTCGCCTGGAAAGACGTTGGACTTTCGTGCTGAAGACCCGGGTTCGATTCTGGATGTGAACATAGTTTATTTAGAGTTTATTTTTTACATTAATAGTATATATCTTTACAGTAAGATGCCCACATTTTTATTTGAGACTTGCCGAACGGCATTGAATTCACAGATAAAAAAGATGTGGGTTCAACTTTCATTTTGGAACAATTTTTCAAGAGCATGCAGGAGGACTGACCCATCTTAAACCTTTGTCGGCTGTGCTGAAGAGAAAGGTTACAGAACCAAATTATTTAATTAATTAGCTGCGCGTTCTCCTGTCCTCTATCCTCCGGGCCACTCAAACACACGGGGCTGACTGTCTCAGCTTTTATTTTCGTTGAGTGTGCACGTACAGCATGCGCGCCTCATGCACGAGCCTACTAGTGAAGCTGCCGTTACGCTTTTGGCCTGAGGGGGCAATCGTGAGCATAAAAATTCAAAACTCCATAAAGTCCCTTTAAAGTGGTGGAAAATGAAATATGGCAAACAAGCAAAATGCATGTAAGCATTTGAAAAGTAATTAAATTCAAATATTAATACTCTATAATTTTATCACATTTCATGAGTAGTACAGGAAAGTCTGCTTTTCTGCATGATTGGTTGCATTTCTGTAGCTTCCAGAGAAAGATATTCTGTTGTTGCTCACAGCAAATCAAATTTGCTTAATTTAAGGCGAGAGGCCCAGACTTCCCTCTCCTCAGCCACTTGGGCCAGCTCCTCTGGGAGAATCCCAAGGCGTTCCCTGGCCAGGTGAGAGACATAGTCCCTCCACCGTGTCCTGGGTCTACCTTTAGGTCTCCTCCCGGTTGGACGTGCCCGAAAAACCTCACCAGGGAGGCGTCCACGAGGCATCCTGACCAGATGCCCGAGCCACCTCAACTGGCTCCTCTCGATGCGAAGGAGCGACGGGTCTACTCCGAGCCCCTCCCAAATGACCAAACTTCTCACCCTATCTCTAAGGAAGAGCCCAGCCACTCTGTGGAGAAAACTCATTTCGGCCGCTTGTATCCGCGATCTCGTTCTTTCGGTCACCACCCAAAGCTCATGACCATAGGTGAGGGTAGGAACGTAGATCCACCGGTAAATTGAGAGCTTCGCCTTCTGACTCAGCTCTCTCTTCACCACGACATACCGGTACAACGCCTGCATCACTGCAGATGCAGCACCTATCCGCCTATCGATCTCACGCTCCAGTTTTCCCTCACTCGTGAACAAGACCCCGAGATACTTAAACTCCTCCACTTGGGACAGGACCTCATCCCTGACCCGGAGAAGGCATTCTACCCTTTTCCGAATCAAGACCATGGTCTCAGATTTAGAGGAGCTGATTCTCATCCCAGCTGCTTCACACTCGGCTGCGAACCGCTCCAGCGAAAGCTGAAGATCGCGTTCTGATGAAGCCAACAGGACCACATCATCTGCAAATAGCAGAGACCTGATCCTCAGGCCACCAAAACGGATGCCCTCCACACCTTGGCTGCGCCTAGAAATCCTGTCCATAAAGGTTATGAACTGAATCGGTGACAAAGGGCAGCCTTGGCAGAGTCCAACTCTCACTGGGAACGAGACTGACTTACTGCCGGCAATGCGGACCAAGCTCTGACACCGGTCATACAGGGACCTAACAGAATCAGAATCAGAAGTTTTTATTGCCATATGTGTGCCAAGTCACAACATTAGGAAATTGCTGCGGTATTTTGGTGCAGAAGGTAAGATAGAAAAAAATTAATTAAGAG